CAGGTAAAGCAGCCGTATTTTCGGATTCAAGAATATGAAAATACGGCTGCTTTACCTGTCACCGAACCAGAATCGTCTTTCAGCAACAGTCACGCTACTACGGGAGAAGCGACTTCAGGCGAGGACCAGCCACAGGCACTGGAAAGTGTTGATAACAACTCGGTAGAAGACACTGGAGCAACCATTCCAGAAGCGGTACCCAACGCTACTATCAAGGAAAATCACCCAGAAAACGTGGTAGAAGTACTATCTCCAATTGATCATCAACCAGTGGAGTCTGTTACAGACCCAGAGGACTTGCAGTCAGTACCTCAATTTGCAGAAGTCGCCGGGCACACCGTCAGTGAGGAACCAGTTCCGGGCGAGAATGTAACCGAGTCTAAATCCGAAATTCTCGTGAAAGAGGTCCTCGAGGACACCGACAAGCCCATCTCGGATGCTGAGGAGAGCCCTGTAGATTCTTCCCCCGATGAGGGCATCACTTCCGAACAACTGGAACCCTCCCAAGAAATCCACGAGACGGTGGTCGCCCCAAGCTCAAATCCTTTAGATAGCTTGTCAACGGAAGGAGCTTCAATCACCGAACCCATAATCACCGCGACCGCAGATACAGAAGAACAAGCTCCCGTTTCAGCCGTGATCCCTGCCGAGAACGATTTGCCAGGCTTCGACGCCCCCAAAATCAAAGAGTCGGTAGTGATTGAAACCCCTCAGGTGGAAAATGTCCCGAATCTGGGAAGTTCGGAGTTTTCCAGCCCACGCATTGAGAATATGGCAATAGACAGAGCTGAACTTTCAGCGGTGCCAGAACTTGATGTGACTGCCGGCAACGAATCACATCAAGTATCAGATTCCATTGGACAGGACGAGGTTGTTCAGCCCATTTCTCTGCCGGAGCAGGATGTACCTGTCGATAGCTCAGAGTTGGTGAGCAATGAGGATATCCGAGCACTTCCAACAACGCCAGTTGTCTCAGGCTTAGTAGACAAGTGCGAACAAGATGAAGTTTCAGAGCCTCAAGCTGGCAATCTTCTGACAGAGGATGCCATTGGGGACACTGCAGCTCTGCCACAGCCTTCATCGGAGGATGTGAGCGAGGCTTTGGCCCAGGACGAGACTCGAAGCATACTCGATTCCGGTGCTGACGATCCTACAATTCTTGCTACCGATGGCAATGAGGCGATGCCTCCATCCCCGCACCCAAGTCCTGAAAACAAAGCTACAACGCCAGCTTCCGACACACAGGTGCTAGAGGATGTCGACGAGAGCATCACTCTAGGCACTCGAGAGGAAGTTCGTGGCAATACCACGGAGCCCGATGGGTCAGTTGAACCCATCCTTCTAGCAGCATCTGTTGAACCCGAGACTCGAGACATCTCAGAGTCAGGACTGGATTCTGTAAATGAAAATCTCATGAAAGAATCGCAGATTGGGCACACAGCGGTCATGGCTGGTGAGATTCTGCCCGATTTCCACGATCCCCCTGATTCTTCCGTCAAGGATGATCTGCTTGAAGATGTCAACACCCCAGAGGTCTTGCAATCTGAAACTGTTGCTCAAAGCGACTCTCAAGACGATATTAAACTGACAGCCGAGGATGATGGCTTGCAAGATTGCTTGGAAGCCACGGCTGAATCTTTGCCATTGAGCTCTGGAGTAGGTTTTGGGGATTCTAGAAGAGATATCTCTCCACTTGTTGAGTCTCAAAGCGAGGGTCATATCTCTGGCCCCCCTCGCGAGTCTCTCATTGAAGATACCATTTGCGAGCCGTCTACTGTCCCGGATCCTACGTCTGAACATATTGTGTTTGATACAAGAGAAACCTTGGCTGGGGAAGTTGCTGGAGATAACATGGAGGCTCCCACATTCACACCTGATCAAGGTCAGATCGCTGAGTCAATGTCTCGCCAATCTTCCGATAAAGGCGATCTTGAGCCAATCCCAATGGAAGAATCCAATGAGCCCCTTTTGACAAGCGCTCATACTTCAGAGGAGCTTCCGACCGAGACAAGAATCGCTCCGGAACCTCTAGTATTGGAAAGCCTCAGCCAGATCTCAAGTCCACAGGTGTCTCCTTCTCCAACCCCTATTATTGCCAATCAAAGCAGCGCTATATCGGAGGGGGTTAAGGTATCTGACAATGATGCACCACACAACTTGTCAGAAGAGACAAGTGCTACCCGGCAGTATTCTAGTACTCCACCACCTGAATCTAGCACAACTCACGATAAAGACCTTACCTCACAAGAGCCTTCTGGCCAGGAGCTAAATCTGGACACTACTGAGTTGAGAGAAATGCCTGGGGATGAGTCCAAGTCGCAAGTTGCAGATCATCAAAGTGTGACAACGCAGGCGACTTTTCCGGAATCAGTCATTGATCAGCAACATCTACAAGTTCATGATACTTCACATTCTATCAGCGCTCTAGTGGATGAAGACTCTAGTCTCGCCAGCAAGTCACATTCCATGGAGAATCAAAACACCCTTGAGGCCGAGATTCAAAATACGACAGATGAAAGTGACAGGAAACGTCTGCCGTCAGAGGATATCGAAGGGCCATCACCCGTGTTTCCAGCCGCTGTGTTAGCAATGAGCGAGGATATCAAGCCTCCATTGCCCATTATCAGCAATGAGGCAGAATCGCAGCCTTCAGTCCAAGAAGAGCTCACACAAAGCATCCAAGACCAAGCTATTGCAGAAATGGAAGGCGAGCATCCCCAAGTATCCACTCTAGGAGATGATACTCCAGCAGCCAATTCGCAGGAGCACGAGGAAGCTAGTATAAAGGAAACACCGGTTGCAGAGCCCTCACCACTAGGACCGGTTGATGTGGTAGAATCTCCTGAGCAACCAACAGAGATCGTCAGCCAACAAAGTCGCCCAGTGCTTGAGGAATTATTGAGCGAGCAGCAAGAGGCTTGTCCTGCCGATGCGTCACCAATGACTGAGGCGATTCACGAGTTTCAACAATACATACCTTTTGATGAGTCTCCGGATATTCTTCGGAGCCATGAACAGGAGCCAGAGGTGGAAACTTCGAAGTTGTCCCTGTTCTCCCCTGACTATACAGTTGAGGACCTTCAGGCAGAGCCTGCTGTTACTCCCCCACCAGTAGAGGCTGTTCGTGAGCTCATATCGACCGTGCTAGACAATTACAGAGAAGAAGAGCAACCCAGACGTATAGACAGCGAAGGATCTGCTGTAACACATCCTGACAGCACAATACCAGGGCATCCTGTGGTACAGGAGGAGACTATTGTAGAGACAGCCGCGGCTGAATCTGTCCCTGAAATCAGTCACGAACGGGCAATCGTACCCGAGTCCCCCATCCTCCCTTCAACAGCTGTCTATGAAGATGATCACGATTCTCACATGGAAGAGCCTAGCCATGTTGTTGAAACAGTCGCTAGTCAGGAAGTTCCTTCGATAGCCTTGCCAGATGATAATATCACCGCGAAGGTCCTTGAAGGACTCCCTGAAAACGGTCCAGGAACCAGCAACGCAGATGAACCTCAGCCCAGCGACCGAGAACTCGTCGCGGAGGATATCGCGCCAAGTTCTCCCCCAATGGGAACCAAAGACTTTGGTCAAATACTTGAGCTGGCGGCTGTTGAACCACAATTACATGAATTGCCTTCCCAGATTCCGACTGATGATATCAAGTCGACCTCATCAGCAGAACCTGACCCTGCACATGTTATCGACGAACATGTCCCCCTCTCAGAGTCATTCACGATCGTGGACGAGCCCTCGTCAACCGATCACGAGCGCCAATCACGTCCAGAAATGCCCCGAATCGACTCTGGTACCCAGACAGAGGATCTCTTCCGGCCTAAAACGCCGCTCCAAATGCTCATGAAAAACGCTATGAGCCAGGAGTTCCGTGCTCCAACTCCGGCCATCGAGATTCCTGATGCCGAGGATCCACATGCCAAACAGTTGAGCCGTGCAAGAAGCGTTAGACGAAAGCGCCGTCAGACCATACGTGATGCTGAGGAACTCGTTGCTGCTGCTGTCGTAATCTATGCCGCAGCAGAGGCCCTCAGCCCGCCTGGAAGTCCGCCGCTAGCAAGTAATCTCGAGAAGGAATTGGCAAAAGAGGAGGAGCCTGTTGTTTTGTCTTTGTCTGACTCGACGGCCCAAGGGGCTGTCGTGGAAAATAGCATTGGAGAAGAAGATGCGCTTCGTAAATCCGTTGCTGACCTCTTGGCAGAAGACAAGTCTAGGGAACTGAAGTCAGACGAGAAGAGCCCCAAGTCATCGCGCAGCAGCCACCGATCGAGCCATCACTCATCGCGTTCAACCCGCTCTCGGGATGGTAGCAAGGATACTGCAGCCAAATTCCCGCACCATCACCATCACAAGCGTCGAGCCGATAGTGAACATTCGGCTCGGTCTGGTTCTGAGCAAGGTAGTCCTCGTACGCCTAAGCGACAAGACAGTGGCTTCTCAAGCTCTCACAGCGCGCGCTCTAAGAAGGAGCGAACTCCTGAAGAACAGGCTGCTCATGACAAGCGCAAGGAACGTCGTCTCGCCCGCGAGAAAGAGAGACTCAATGACTCGTCGCCTTCCAAGTCACCATCCAAGTCATCGAAAGGCAAAGAACCGGAAACAGAGAAGTCCTCGAGTCACAGAAGTTCCAGGAGACATAGTCATGCCAGCGCCACCGTAACCAAGGAAGACTCACCAGTACCTCCACCTAAGAAGTTCTTTGATATGAAGAATGGGCAGAGTGTACTTCAATCTAACTTTGGTCCTCGAGAGGGTTCCGTAGACAAGGAAATCGCTCGCCCAGAGCTACCTCAACGATCAAACACAACTCGATCAGCCAAAGGCGGAGTGCGAAAGTCCGTCGATGCCAGCCGTGCCAAGCTCCAGAAGACTCGTGATGAGGGCTCAGAAGATGCCAAGGAAGCCACAGCCGCCGAATCATCAGACGCCGGTCCTGGAGATGCCCCTGCAGCTGGAGACGAACACCGGAAGAATAGACAAGAAAGGAGACAAAAGGAGGGTGGGAAGGATCACAGCAAGCCCGGGTTCCGTGCTGTCATCAAGCGGTTCTTCACTTCGTAATCCGTGTTATTATTGTCGGTGGATCCTTTTCTTTTTATCTGATTTCTATGGACTGTTCAAGTATGCGTCATGAAGTTTCTCTTCCACCACTTCCAACTGCTTCCAGTCACTTTACCTTTCCTTAACCTCACGACGCTCATGAGCGGTCATGATTCATGTACACTTTCAATCGATCTTTACGAAGATGTGGGATGCAGGTTTTCATTTCTAAACGAGATATGAAACGAATATGGTAACATAAATAGCGCTTGCCTGGAAATTCACTCTGTTCTAGCTTGGTTATCAAGGATGATGTGCAACTTTTTGTATTCGTTCTTCTGCTGTTTATTGTGTACCACGATATCTTCCCACGACCTTCATGTCTTGATTCACATCGCTGAGTCATCTCATGCAAAGATGTACTTATGCTACGACAATTAGATCAAATGTCTTATTCTAAAGCACAAAAGATGGCTTTGCTAACCTTCCACGTTCATCTTCACCTTCATTTGATGAAAAAACAACGCTTCAATTTACTATTGCGGCGAGCTTCGAGTGAGAGCATTCATGAGTACTCAAATGTTATGTAGGAGGCGTAGTGGCTTCGAAAGAGACACATTGAGTTATGAATCTTGCTGAAAGATAGCAGGATATTGAGACGTTTGCTCGGCATTTCAAACTGATCTGTTTCCATAATAGAGCACATAACCCTGGGACTTGTTGCAAACGATGGGATGGACTCTTGTACTGTTAGACATCAGACAAATTTGAACAAGGACAGTGCCGGTACGTAAGCCATGGTCGTATCACGAATTAGAGTGAAGCATCTGGGTCCGAATGTGGTTTTATTCCACAAATAAGGTATCGCTTTCGTAAAGAGACCAAACTCCAGGAATCCACAAGCCTAGGGTCTCCAAAACTCGGTATCGTCTGATCTCTAGCAATGAACGAGATTTTGTGTATACCCTTTTGAGTGTCCCAATGGTGATTATTTTTTTCTCGTAGTCTGAGTAAACCACCTTTTTAAGCCCTCTCTGGGTACGCCGAACCGCACGACGCACTTTCTCTCTGACATGCCTAAGTACGTAAGAACAGCACCACGCTCTTTAAGTTGACAGGTTTTGAATTAGTGACACGTTGTCACCCTTCAACAAGATCTGGCCTTTGCAAGAGTTAGCATTGAATCATGCATCAAACAGAATAGCGATGCCCATACCTAACGATCTCCGTGTCTCCTTGTCATTGGTCTTTGTGACTTGCTTGACCTCAACTGCATCGTCAATCACCAAGTTCATGAACTCATCAAATCCCTGCACAAGATAGATCAGCAAGCAATCGATCAAGATAAACAGGGATGACAAACCCGGATCTTTCCTTCAATACGGATGGAGAGCTGCTCGTATAGCCATACGCTTACTAGGGCATTCTATAGACGTCAGTACAATATTCATTGACCCAAGCTGAAAATGCAAGCAATTTTGACGTATGGATGATTTCGAGAAAGACCATGTCGTTCGAGTCCACAACACCATTCAGGCACACGGTATTCACGCAGGTGAAAGCTTGGGCGAGCAATGGAAACTGCGCAGCTTTCAGAACCGAAGCTCGAGGCACTCATTCGATCAACAATGCGTAAACTAGGATGCGCAATGGGAACTAGGCCTAGGGCTAGACGAAGAGCGCAGAGGAGGAGTCGCCTATCTGCTTTCGAGTTTCTTAAAAGCTCATCCTCGCGGTCCGATAGGTCGTTTCTCGTAGGTCGTAGGTCCACATCGAAGCCCTCTGGGCACCCGACAATGACGGTGTATGGGACTAAATCGAACTCACTGTCTGAAGTAGTTTGAAGATCATGTTGCTGTATACGATTAGCGGTTGATCGACTCCCAGAGAATAACAAGCTCGAGAGCTGGTCCCGGGGGCGTAAGAAGCTGAACTCACATTGGGGGGAGCAAAACGCGGCGACCGCCGCCTCCACCACGACCTGTCATTGTGGTTTAAGTGACGACGCTTAAGACGGATTGAGATCTTTTTCGGAGCGTCGAGGGAGAGTGCTCGTTTTTGAAAAGGCTGAGAGGCGTCGGAGATCGTAACGATTTAGCGATGTTATCGCAAAGTAGAGAGGTGGGATGTAGGTAGTTTGTTCTGCCTGCCGGGGGAATTTTAGCGGAGATGCGAAATCTTTTGTCCGGTCAAGCCACTGCAGGGACACCCATGGAGCGATCGCTTTTTGTTCACTGTGGGGAAGAGAACAGAGCGCCCTCACCCGTTGAAGTCTCCCAGTAATAAGCAAGCTCTGAACATCCATTATACCACTTTTATTGCAAACGACGAGATGTCAAGGTTGCCTAACTCAAAATATGTGCAGCTTTTCTGGGAGATCTCATCAAGCAGCACTCAACTTGCACCGTGAAATCCAAGCTAGTATGGAAACGGAGACTGTCATGGAAGCCATTGCCCAAATTTCCTTGACACTCAAATCCTTGACCATAGCCAGCGAGTCGACTACTCCTACTTATGCAGTTTTTCGCAACTGCTCACTACGAAACTTTGACTTCACCTGGACATGATGGAGATCCCTTGAAAAGACTCATTCAACAAGAAAAGTAATTCGGATCACATCCAGCGACTCCAATAGGGGAGTGGGGCGCTCTGGCTGCAATATGCAACTTACAAATGACCGTCCTTGACGCCATACTGTCTACAATGTGGACCACGCTCCTGGATAAAGAATTTACGCGCAAATGTAGAGTAAGAAGTAGATGTTCCAAATGCTAGCAGCTAGTTTTTTGGCCTACGATGGCGCTACCAAGTATGATCTCCTTGACTAAGGGTTAGCACTCTCAGTATGTCTAGGCGGACATCGTAGAGGTATCTCATGCGTCGTCCATCTCGGATTGCAGATTGCACAAGGGAACCGCTGGAAATGGTCACTTGCATATGCTCCGTGATATCATACAGGATACATCGATATTCGGCAAAGAAGCCATGGGCTGGGGTCTAGTAGCATGGGAAGCAGATAGGAGGGTGCCGCTCATTGGCAGATCGCGTAATCGCGTCCCTTGCTTGATGCAATCTCGATCGATAACAGGACAAGGAGGCCTAGGCACGCGACCGGCCACATATGCGCGTGACATTCCTGTCTCAAAAGCCGTGTATGTAACCTGTGGTTTGAGTCGCGGTTAGTAGCATCGTGTATTCGGCACAGTTCAACTTGCATCCTGATGTATTTCGCCTACTACATCTGACAGCATCGACCGTATTGAACTGTCTGCGTTTCCAGCGCCGCCAGCTGGCAGCCCTTGGCACGCACGCACCGCCTAACGTTAACGGTAGGGGAAACGTCAAGCCACGTGAAGATAAACGATAAGCGTCACACCCCCAAAATTCTACCGTCAGGTTTGGACAGTTCGCCCGAAAATTCGCTGAGCTGCTGCTCCCCTCTGTCTCCAAGCCATCTCCTATAGCGCCAGGCTCTGGAAACTCGACCGAACAGAGTCTCGTCCACAGCTGCCTTGCAAACGAACACTCCGATGTGTCTCGTTCGCTGAGCCTCTTCAGCTTTTTCACCCATCAAGTCGCGCCTCGCATCTCCAACTTTTGGTGCGCGAGAGAAGCTGCAAGCTCGAGTGCTTCGCTTCACCATCACAAGCCAATTTGTGACCGCCCGTTCTCGAGACCTCCACCTGTCGGCCGCACGCTCGGCGCGGCATATTCTGCCCGCCCGGCACACTCTCACCACAATCGCGCGAGATGTGGACAATTTTCCGCGTGCTGTTCAGCGCCATTTTCCTATTGTCCATCGTCCTCTGCATCCCCATCGCCTTCGACGTCGGTGGCCGTGATGCAGGCCTGGCCTACAGCCTGTCACTGTTCCTATTTTACTTCGTTTATTCAACGATAAAAGCGGTCACTCCCGAACGGTCACGAGTACGATGGACGCTTATGACGCTCCTGCGCCTGTCACAATGGGTTGTCATTCCGGGACTCTTGATCTGGGCGTTGAATAGGTTTTCTGTCGACGCGGGGAGCACAGATTGGGTGTCGAGGACAATCGCGCATGTGACAACGCGCGACGGAAAGGCCACGACCTGGCACGAATGGTTCTTTGGTCAGGGCGGCTTCCTCGAGTCCGTCACGTTGGGAGGTTGGGACAGGGGTCTGAGCTATTCGAGCCCCGTCTTCCAATTACTAGAGGGCTTTTGTAGTCTTCTAGTGATACAAGCCGCTGGCCAAATCACAAGATGGCTGGTAAATAGGGGCCGAAGCGATACGTGGGTTGTAAGTTGACATATTTTCTGGGAAGAAGGCGGTTCAAGTTCTGCGATGCTAATTGCCTATGTAGATCATCCTGCTCGTCTTTTCCGGCTCTATCATTGCCAGTGCTGTGTACTTCCTCTGGAGGGTAGCGCGTTTCCCCCAGATCAGCAATCTCGATGCGACTCTCATTGGGGTGACCATGACGTCGGCTGTATTCCTTTGCGCGTTTGGCATCGGTAGTGGACGAGGCAACCCTGTGGAGTCCTCGCTCCTATTCGCATACGTCGTGCTGTGCGTCTACCAGATATTCACCGACTATCTTCCATCCCCTGATGCCGCAGCAGCTCAGGCTGCAGCCGAAGAACAAGCTGCTGCGTCACAACCCGACTTTCCCCCCTTGCCCCCTATAATAATGGCATCCTACTCCACCCTACTTCACGTCCTCAGCAGCCTCCCTACTGCCGTGAGCAGCTCTTTCACTTTCCTCTACGCCGCCTTCCAGACAATAACCCCGTCTGTCATCATCTCATTAACATACCGCACGATTGTCTTCTACTGTGCGACACGCATCATCCCTGCGGTGCGTGAGTCCGGCGCGCGTGCTCTCATAGATGAGCCGAGTTTCGAGGATTCGGACGCAACAAATAAACTGCTAAGTTTTTTGTCGTGGTTTTCCCCCTCGATACTAATCGCAGTTTATACAAGTCTGCTCCTGCAGCACTTCACCGTGGCCAGCGATGGGGATGATGCTGGCTGGACCTTAAGAGGCGGCGATGCCGACGGCAACACGTGGCGATGGATCAACGTTGCCGCGACTATGGGACTGTACGCCATTGAACTGTATCTGGGCAACGAAGATGTCGAGAGCGGCATGAGCCACTGGAAGACGGATTGAAGAAAGCTACACTAAGAGATGTGGATGTGAAGATTGATGGTAGCAAGAATGGCTGCCACAGAGATAATACCAAGGAGCTTTTGATGAAGCTTCCGCATTGAGATGGATACCTCGTAAGCCGAGGTGCCAAGCAGCAAACATATAATGATTTTATACCATTCCCGGTACAGGTCGTTCTCGATGGAGAAGACATTCAAGTTGTTAGCGAAAGCTACTTTACATAGAGAGATAACCCAAGGCGGAAATGGACCTGGGCATGAGATAACACAGGAAAGGAACACAGCGCATGGCGTTTATACTGGTTGCTGGATGGACGGGCATGCAAGCAGGCAGCTTCGTCTTCCAGAGAAGACAAATTTGATATTTCTTCTGTTGATGAATCTTGATAACTTGATATAGCTTGTCGCTTGAGTGGTGACATGTGACAACATATGTCTACCATCAGAGACTATTACACAGCGAAAACATGCTCAGTCGTTTTGTAATGATGAAATTGAACGCCTTGCCATATAAATTATACAACCTTAGGTAACTCCCCGGGAATCCAGTAGACGGAGCCACCGTCGGTGGCACCGCTGGTAGCGGGGCGGGAACGGATGGCAGCATTGGCTCTTCCTGCCGAACAGATGCCGATCCATTAATTAGTAACTCGGTCTCCAACATACTTAACAAGCTCAATTCGAGATCCTACGCCAGAAACTCTCTTGAAACTCCTGAAGTGCCAGTAACTATAACTCGTCTGACATTTGGAGATTTCTTCGGTACTAACAATGGCACCATCTACTGTCAAGGAGGACCTGCCTCCCCCTCCGGCAGTTTCCATCAAGACACTGCACATTGCCGGCATCCTAGTAGACATCCATGGACTTGCCGAGCTGTCCCCAACAGCCACCCAGATCTCCGTGCTATGGTTGCACCACCCACGCACACGTTCCAAGGAGCAAATGGTCGACATTGCAGCACGGGCCGTGACTGCGTGGAATGCCTCATCCAAGGCCACCAGCGGAGGCAATCGGGGTCTGATCGCCGCGGCGTTCGACCAGCGCAATCATGGCAGCCGGCAAGTGCTCAAGCTCGCCAACGAGGCGTGGCGAGGCGGGAACCCGACACATGCGCAGGACATGTTCGGCGTGGTGGCGGGCACGGTGGCGGACAACCGGGGGCTCATTGATCTGTTGCCGGGATATCTTTTCCATGACGATGGTGGGATTTCTCGGGCGATTGATCAGCACCTGGTACTCGGCTGGTCGTTGGGCGGTCATAGCTGCTGGCAGCTGATGTTTGCGGACCCGAGAGTTACTGCTGGTATCTCGGTCATTGGATGTCCTGATTTCATGTGTAAGTTTCCAAATCTGCGCATTTTGTGTGCTCAGTGTTGGATATCGCCAGTTATCCGGGCATAAGCCCTTGCATGGCCATGATTAACACATGGATAGATCTCATGGCAGACCGTGCTAGGTTAAGCAAACTGTCAACCTATAAAGAGGAGGATAAAGGCAGGTCCTTTTTCGGGAGCAAAGATTTCCCACCCTCCGTGATATCAAAATGTGAGAAGATGGATCCCAAGGGCATGCTCTTCAGCACGGAGGATGTTCCCACACCTCCCACATCCTCAAGCGAGCAGGAGCGTTTGAGACCACTACTCGACTCTCATATCAGGGGCAAAAAATTCCTTCTCTGCAGCGGAGGGGATGACAAGCTCGTGCCCTACAGGTGCACGAAGCCCTTCATAGAATTTTTCAAGGACGCAGCGGAAACGTGGTATCGTGATGGTGGCGTGTCGATCGAGGATAACGTGTACCCTGGCCGTGGACACGTTTTCAGCCCGGACATGGTTACGGATGCCGTGCGCTTCATTGTAGATTCAGTGGGAGATTCGGATTTGATCAAGATAGGGACATCAGCTGGACTGAAGAGTCCCTCGAAAATATAGATGCAATTGGTCTATCCTCCACCTCGTCTTGCATTAAATTCAACGAGACAAGATCTATATCCAGGGCCGAGGCTCGCCGTCTACCAATACCTCCTCCTTTCCGTCATCTACCAGCTCTGTCTTTAATCCGCTCTGAGCTCGCTCTTCGTCACTCAGGAACAACCTCTGGTCTACGCCATAAATATTCCGTCTCCTTCGTTTCGCTGCCAAGTCCGGAGACATGCCGTGTCTGTCCTCCCTCCAGCTTTGGACCGCTACAGCCTCCTGCGGCAAGGTACCGTCCACTAGCACGAGCCCGGGCGGGTTGATACCGATGAAGCGCACGTGCTCAAGCGGGAACGCAATGGCGGCGCAGTGCTCATCTGTCAGACGCACACGCTTGAACTCGTGGCTGACGATGGTGAGGCGGCGCGGCCAAGCTGATGTGGGATGGTTTCGCCAGAAGTGTGCGATAGAAAAGAGGATGTTTTGGTAGGAGTCAAGCGCACGCTCTTCTACGAGGATACGTGAATGGAGTGGGATAGGGGAGAGGGGGTGCTGTTCGTGCTGTTCGTGCTGTTCGTGCTGTAACGAGGATGGGGATGGTGAAGAGAGTAGGTTGAAGTAGTTGTTAGCGGCGGCGAGATTGGCGTAACTGCGGGCCTCGGATAACTGAGTGGATTTGTGAGTTGGTCCGCTGAGAGAATATTAGTTGATATAATCCTGATGAAAGATTCGTATGATAAATAAAAGAATATGGTTGATTATCTTCTTGCTCACTAGGGCCAAAGGAATGCCTTAAAATCGAAAACATCGAAAGGTGTAGAATGGGGTATAACTTTGATATTGAAAGGGGTGATTTGCCACGAGAAGAAAACTTACCCTGAAAACACCAAGATCGATTTCTCGTCTTCGCTCAGTGCCTGGACACCGGCCTTGATGTGTTCCATGTATGTTGGAGTTTCACCTTTCTTCCATCCCTCAATCACCCATTCCGACTCGTTGTGGCCATTCTGCGGCCCTCCGGCCCATATCGCGTGGCCGCAGACTATAATACAATGGTCTGCCTGTTTCATGATTGATATTTAATAACATCGCAGAGGTACGCATCCCTAAAGTTGGGATAAGAGCTGGAAAACATGATCCCCGCCATGTCATGTGATAAAAGATAAGCAAGAAGATTTTAACGAGCTTTGAAGTCTTAGATGACTTTCTATGATAGCAAGTTCTTATCCAGGACGTAGGACTCGAGTTTGGGCTTATAACAAGTGCGTTCAATGAGAAAACGATATGAGTTTTAGTAATATTATAGCTATATGCATTGTGAGCTCGCATCAGCAGAGCTAAACAGTCGCAAAAAAGGTAGAGATTGCTCTCTATAATATTTTGATCTATCTGGTTATGACATCTTAACAGTCATGACTTTTATGCTGCTTGCCGAAGGAGTCTCAGAGTATCTGATACGAGATAAAGACTTCCTGCAATGACAATCGGCCTGTCTGCAGCAGTGGCGGTAGCCTGATCAAGAATAGACTGCAGGTCTCCAACGCCTTTGTAAATATTACTGTCATCTATGCCGTGCTGCAGGGCTAAATCAAGTATACCCTTGGGATCAGCTGCTTTGACCCAAGGCATGCCGTCGACAGGCCCGAACCGGACAGCGCCAACATGATCACCTGGTTGAAGCAGGAGACTGAGTATACCACTTAAATCTTTACCTTCGGAAGCAGCCAGTACCCATGTCACAGGCCTGCCACCAGATCGTAGATGCTTGTTTACATATTCAGCCAGCACTTCAGCTGATTGGACATTGTGAGCGCCATCCAAAAGCACAGCTTCTGTCCGGCTAGTAATTTTGCTGATGTCGATGAGCTGTAGCCTGCCCGGCCAGCGAACCTGCTTTATAATGGGCAGAATATGTTCGAGCGATTCGTCTTTGTCGGGACAGGCCAAACGGAAAGCATGGTGAGCGCAAGCTAGGTTTCGCGCTTGGTGTGGCTCGAAACCCTGCTCAGACAGCATCGAAAGCAGACTCGGTGTGGCCTTTGGAAAGACCACATCTGCTCCCACTTCTTCAGCGTGTTCCTGAATGACTCTTAGGACGGATGGTGGGTTGCTGTCATCAACAACGCATTTGACCCCTTTCCGCATGATTCCAGCCTTCTGAAGCGCAATCTCCTCGAGGGAGTTGCCTAGAAATGATTGGTGATCAAGCCCGATCTTCGTGATCACCGTCACTGCCTTGTGCTTCAACACGTTCGTGGCGTCGACTTTGCCTCCCAAGCCGACCTCGATGACTCCAAAGTCTACCTTGGCGCGATTCAGTATTTCGAACGCAGTAGCTGTGAGAAGCTCAAACTCGGTTGCCTGGATACCGCCCTCCTCATTTCTCTTTAGCACCATCTTCTCTGTGTCTCGAAACACTGTTTCGGAGACGGGCTGCTCGTTGATCGTAATGCAATCCCATCGGTCAATAAGATGGGGAGAAGTGAACCTCGCAACGGACTTTCCACTGGCGTGGATCATAGCCGAGAGGTATGCACATATCGAACCCTTGCCATTTGTTCCAGCAACATGGATGGCCCTCCATGTCTGTGGTGTCTGCTGGACGAGGCGGCTGACGCGAGCCAGGGTAAGATCGATCATGGTGGGCAGATAACCAGAGAGACTACCATGTTGATACAGACTGCAACCCGTACCTGGCTTACAGGAGGGAGGAGTGCCCTCTCTGATGAAAATTCAAGACTGATGACTGCAATGACCTGCCTTCCAGTGTTTATTTGTTGACTTAGAGAGGCAGAGACATTATCGAGAAAGGTGGTGACTCATATCCGGGAGTGGGAAAGAGACATCAAAAACTGGTGATAGTGGCCGCAAGGTGGACAAATATCAGCCTGTCGTTTCTGCTGTTGCTGGGGGATAATTGAAATTTAGGCCAGCAAGGGGGGCTAGCTAGCGAGGGACACTGGGCTTTGTACCGCGGAAGGAAGGAAGAAGAGCCTCGAGATGGTCTGCAATAGTAAGATACTCGTTGAAGGGGCATTTTTGTGTGCTATGATAGGTACTTTGTTAGCTTGGCTTATCAGTAGCGGTCCATTCGAAACAGGGGTGTGCTCTTTCTTGCATTAACCTGCGCGCCACCCTCAAAAAAGGCAAAAGTCAACGGGACCCCTTCAACGACCGCCGACGGCGACTCCTGGTGTCTTTTCCTTTCCTCCTCACCTCCGCCCCTGCGCCAAAATACCCCACGACTCCCGCAAACAGCCTTCATCCCAGGCCTTCCTCGTCAATTCCACCTGAGGCGTTTGAGATCGCGCAGCAACCTCAAAAATCACCACATCGCCGGCGCTTCGCCATCACGAGACGAGAATTCGCATCGGATCTCGAGTCGCTGCTGTCCGACGACCACATTCGTTTCTTTTAATCCGCCGTACCTCGTCTTGCATTCACCCGCATTTGCCTCCTCTTGCGCGCATCGCGACACAATGGGTCTTCCGTAAGTTTTTTTCCGCCTCGTTACGCCCGCGCTTATCCCCACGGCCCAGTGGCATCAAGCCTCTGGGATCCCGTGGCCACGCGCATTCATCCGTTTCCATCCGTTCGCGATCTCGGATCAATTACGGCGACGCTGGATTTGATTCTATCTCGAATTTTCTTTACCGTACTGACACGTCACTCCCCCACCAGGCTGTACCGAGCACCTGTCGAGTCCGACATCAAGGGGAAGCCCGCCCCGAAGAGCCCCCCAACTCGCGCCCGGTCCACCATTCGCCGCAGTCGCCGCACTCGCGTCGATGCACCACCGCCTGCGATCCCATCGCGCGCCGCGCGCCGGCGACTTTTGGGCTCCAGCGCCGAATCTCATTGGACACCATGGGATTCTCTGCCTTCGGAGGAGACGCCCGCCGCACCGGCGCGAGCGTCGGTTGATAACACCAATGCGACCAGCCAGAGCCCTACCTGGGGTGATGCAGGCGGAGGCTCCGAACGCGCGCAAGGTGCACTCAGAGATATGGTTGGCCGAATGGGCGGCATGATGAATGACCGCGTTCTTGCCTTGTTTGGTGAGCGTTGGGCGCAGCTTCATGCTGGATCTAACCCTTCGCCGGCACGCGATCAGAGCACCCCCGACGTACCGGACGAGTTTGAGGTCTCGGCCCCAGTGGGACCTGTCCGCTCGAGTGAAGTAAGTGTCCACATGAGGTATCTCTCTCCTTGAACCCAAGTTAATATCATCTTAGCAATCACGGTCTGTTAGCAGATCATCGCGCAGTCCACATCATTTCTCTCGTAGAGTCTACACCAACAGGGACCTTCCCTCGTATCATTCTGGGCAACGTAGTTCTCTCAGGGCAGACACACCCGCTTTTCCTTCACAGAGGTCATCTCGGCCAAGACCGACTGCGAGACGCTCGGGAACGACACTCTCGCGAGATGGGGCACCATACGACGGGCTGGGAGACCGTAATAGGAGTCTCAGCCCCGAGGGCGATGGTGTTTGGGATACGCTCCTCAGCAGCATCACCCCAGACCCCCAGCCGCCCAGTGTTGGGTCGTCCTTTGCGTCGGCGTCTGCATCAGCCGTTGCCTCTCAGAGCGCGCCCACCGGCTCCTCCAGCACTTCTCTTACGGGGCCAGATATTGATGAAGCGGTCACCTTTGAGCCACAGTGCGAGTCGGGATGTGAAAATTCCGACACTGAAGGAGATGAAGATGAGGAGATTGACCAGAATACCCTGACTCGTTTCTCCCGCACCCTTGGAGGTCGCCGGTCGTATGCGGACGTTGCAGCACATTCCGGCAACACTGATGATCCGTTGGAGATGATGAGATTGGGAGGTATTGGGGGCATGCAGCGTATCGTGCGCAACCTTGCCCGGCGGGAGGACATTCCTGACGAATGGTGGGCTGAAGCTGGGCTCAGCCGAACGCTCTCACGGGAGGCATCGAACTGAGAAGGCTCGGTTCGTGGGGCGCTAGCCTCGTGGCTTTTCTCAAGATTCCAGCGCTTGAAGCGAAGCTTGTGCCTTTCTACTAGGTATTCCGGAGTTAAGGGTTTTGGACCAAATATTACGGCCATGATTACGATAAGCACTTTTCGTTACGAGGTATAGGAGAGCTCAGACCCGTTGGCGGTGGTAATGAGGGGTGTTCCCTCTAATTTCTGATGGACATTGAAAATGCTCTTGGCTTTGGAAGCCTCTAAAAGCTTGTCGGGTTGGAGTTTTGTCGATTTAGTTATCCTCTGGCACGAGGATATCTGTACAATTATACCACAGGTTCGATACGACCATTTTGGGACAGGAAAAGAGCCCTGACTTATCTGATCTACATGCAGCCCTTTTGCATACATATGTTGCAAGCCGTGCTTTGAGTGATATTGTGATGTGTCTTTACAGCAAACTATCGTTTCCTTATAATGGCTTTTCCAGAGACAAAGTATTCTCGTCACACGCCAACTACGGGAGAGCACATCCCTTGACATTTACCCCATACCTCGGACTGATTGATGTGTTGATGAATGGCCAAAACTCTGCCCGATGCTTAGAGTCTAAAACTTGATGAGGGTGATATGTCATTTCTCCTCAAATTGCACATCTCGGATCAACCGTCTTTCCCATCTTATTTCCATGCTAGACTCGACGGCAAAGTGCTTGATGTCTAGGAACCATCCGCCTGCCATGGCCGGTAGTCAGCGTACGCTACGGTGCGGATCGACGCCCTTTCAAGCCACCCAACTCCACAGCCTTACCTGGGACGCTTGCGAGTGTCCGCCCAGGCGAGCCAGGCCCTTTCCACAAGGTTGCATTGTCAATGAAACGCATTAGCGCCATCTGGCTACTGTGTGTCTGTGTGCACAGCGCGAGAGCAGCAGCGAACCACAGCGCTGTCCGCGCCTCCTTTGCAGGTGGCCAGAGCCCAATCCCCTCTCTGCACAAGTGCATTGTGCCCTGTTTTGGTGGGTTGGGGGATGGCACAACCTGAGGTGAAGAGACCTGGCTGACCGACACATTGAACAACACACGACACGGCCAAGGCGACGTAACTGTCGGACCCTATGACAACTGTCTGGTGAGTTTGATTGCATTTCAGCTCGCGACGCCGACGGATGCTCACATGTAAGTCGGCAAGATTAGCATCGAACTAGGGATAGCTGTTGGTCAAGGTCAGAGAGCCCAAAAGGGGCCGAGAGAGCAAGCAATCAAGCAAGCAAGCGCCCGCTCGGGACCTCCCATCCATCCATCCATCCTTCCACTCGTCATTTTATAGCCGGGCCGTGTAGGCAGGTCGTCGATTGCCAATACCGCTGGGTAATTCACAATTCCACTCACTAATAAGCTAGAAAACCCTTAGGAGGGCAAGAACAGACAAAGTAAACGGGAGGCAGACCGCCAGGGAAACCATTGGGATCGCGTGCCAGCCAGCTCTTCCCGTCCCGCGCATCGCACCGCACCGCACTATCATACTACGCCAGCACCACACCCACACCACGCCAGAACACTACCTAACTCAAACGCTACCTCGCCTAGATCTTACAGCTACTCAGTTAGTCCTCGTCAAGGGATCCGCATCCACACACCCAATATAACATCTACCCCAGACCTTAATACCTACTTTTCCTCGCCAGAACCAGCTTCCGCCTACCGCGACCCCGCGATCCCGTCGCGAACGTGAAACAGCATCCTATTTGCGGACCCAGGCTTTTTTTTTTTCCACGTTCGTTTATCCGACAGGCCTGCTCTTACTGTGAAGGAACGGGCAAAGACACAGGGCACGCCGAGCAACGACGGGCTATTTTGGAGCTCACGGCTATTTCTGTCGATTCGACTGCCTAGTGCATAGGGGCTCTCACGAAGACCTCCTGGAGTAATAACTCACGAATTACCGCGCCTTGGGCCGACGAGAGAGGCACCGGACTTCGTTGAGCCGTCTTCCCGCCGGGAATGGTGTCTCTCACCCCGACACGTCTGGACACCCTCCCCGCTTCACGACACGCCACTCTCCTCTAACCCAACCCTACGACAAGTCCACTCCCGACTGTCACAGCAGGAAAACTCGCGGTCGGGTGCTGCTGACCCGGGCCCCCGGACGGCATGGCGCCCGCAGGTAGCTCCTCGAACGCGCCCTCCGAGCGGCCATACCATGGGCAGGGCGGCGGCGGCAGGGGAGGCGCCGTCGTGGCGGCCAAGGTGCCCGGCACCCCATCGAGGAAGGAGACGAGCAGCAGCAGCGGCGGCGGCGGCGGCCACACCCACGCCCGGGAGAGGGCGGTGCAGGACCCGGGGCTGAAGGACTTCCGGTTGGGCGACTGCATTGGCAAGGGAGCGTTCGGGTCGGTCTACAAGGCGTTCAATTGGGGCACCGGAGAGGCTGTGGCCGTCAAGCAGATCAAGCTGGTAGATCTGCCGAAGAGCGAGCTGCGGATGATCGAGGTACATATTCCAGGGCGGAGGTGGTGACGATGATTGGCTTGGGGCGTATTAGGAGAGCCAATGCTGACTGGTTGACAGGCGGAAATCGACCTCCTCAAGAATCTTCATGTATGGGATACTGCTTGCATATTAAGGTGTAATTCAGGGGATGGCTGACAGATCGGCAGCACGATAATATTGTCAAGTACCTCGGCTTTGTAAAGTCGGCGGATTGTCTGAACATAATTCTCGAGTATGGTTGCTCTGGGTGGTTTTGTTAGGATACATGGCTGACTGGTTGACAGATACTGCGAAAATGGTTCTCTGCATTCAATATGCAAGGCATATGGAAAGTTTCCAGAGAACTTAGTTGGTGTCTACATGACCCAAGTCCTTCAAGGTCTCCAGTATCTCCACGACCAGGGTGTGATACATAGAGATATCAAGGGAGCGAATATCCTGACGACGAAAGATGGCAAGGTCAAGTTGGCTGACTTTGGAGTGTCGACAAGCACGCTTGCTGGCCCTGACAAGGAAGCCCAGGTCGTGGGCACGCCTTACTGGATGGCACCTGAAATCATCCAACTTTCCGGTGCCACGTCTGCTTCGGATATATGGAGTGTAGGATGCACAGTCATTGAGCTTTTACAAGGAAAGCCTCCGTATCACAATCTCGCCGCAATGCCTGCTCTGTTCGCCATTGTCAACGACGATCATCCTCCTCTGCCAGAAGGCGTGTCTCCGGTTCGTGAAACCATTCTCTGCCGTCACATTGCTAGAGAGCCATTTATTAACTAGACTATAGGCCGCTCGTGACTTTCTCATGCAATGCTTTCAGAAAGACCCAAATCTGCGTGTCTCGGCGAGAAAGCTGTCGAAGCATGCGTGGATTGTGGGGTGCCGGAGAAGCGATGCACCAGTCTCCAAGGCTCCGTCTAATTTTAGCCAAGCCGTAGAAGAAGTCAAGCAGTGGAACAAGGCGCTGAAGTCTTCAGAGACATCTCTTCGAGCTTCTACCGGATCTGACAGCAGCGGCCCGCCACCACAAGGCACCCAAAGATCGCGGTTCGCGGCTAATGATCAACATCGATCGAATCTCGCAACTCCTGCCAAGGGCCCTCTTGCTCTGGCTAAGCCACGGGCTACAGCGGAGTCCTTCAGGTCTCCAGAGCTGGCTGGTAAGCTTGGATCGCTGCTTTAAGTTTCGTGGAAACCTAATTGTGTACAGATGACGACAACTGGGATAACGATTTCGACACTGCCATCTCTCCGAGTGCTTTACAATTACCACACCTCAAACCACAAGACCATTTTGGTGGATTATTGTCGGCGGATAGGCTGAAGGCTTTCGCGTCGATCGACGAGAGCAGCAGTCGAAACGTTTCTGCCAATTGGGATGATGCTTTCGAGGGGGAGCTACTGACCATCAAAGGACCTCGCCAAATACCAGAGCCAGATCTTCAGGAACAGACAATCCGCCCAATGCTCAGAAAGACGGAAAAAAGCGCCGAACCGACCAAACAATCAAGGCGACATGCAAGCAAGCCATCCGTTTCGAATGCCTCGCAGCCCAAGTCGCCTACAAAGCCGACTTTCGGGGCCAAGTTTGAATTGCCTTCTCGGCCTGAGAACTTCTACCGAGAGCAATCTGTCGAGGATTATTCGGACTTGTTTGCTGATAATGACAATGTCTTTGATAATCGTCTGAACTTGGTTGGAAAGGTACTCACCCCAAACGTCAACAGTGTCATAGCTCCCTTAGCTCACAAACCTCAGGATGCACCTCAGCTTTTCCACCCTTCCGACCTCACCAGTCTTCCTCGATCAATGCAAGCGCCAGTGGGTGGTAGCATGCGCCGCCAGAGTACTACACGCCCTTCCGTACTGCCAGATCGTCCCATGAGAAGAACGAGATCCACAATCGAGATCCAGAAGTTCGCCGAGGACGAAGACGATGAAGACTTCTCTGACATTTTCGGTCCTGGTGACAATCTGACAGAGAAGGAGGAAAGTGATAGGGGCTCCGAAGATGGTGGTCTTATGCTACTCTCCAAACTTTCCAACAATTCTTGGCTTGGAGACGACGAGGACGAAGACGACCCCTTTGCAATGATGGATCCTGGCTGGGACGAGATGGACTTGGAGGCAAACATTGCTAGAGATCGCCATGCAAGACTCGCTGAGAAGGTTGAGGAGCTCGTGCGGAATCTCAAAACTACAGAGGGTGAGGACAAGCTCTCTGACCTCTCTGAGGACCTTCTGGCTTTGCTATGGGAAAACAACGAGGTCAAGGATCTGATTATTAGCGCACACGGCTTACTGCCTATTTTGGAGATTCTTGAGCCTTGCACGGTCAAGAGTCGACAACATCTGATCCTTCACGTACTGAAGATCATCAACGCAATCATTTTGGATGATGTGGAACTTCAGGAGAACCTCTGCTTCGTTGGTGGCATCCCCATCATCACCAAGTTCTCCGCACGACAATACTCCAACGAGATACGTCTTGAGGCAGCTGCATTTGTACGTCAGATGTATCAAACCTCAACCTTAACGTTGCAGATGTTCGTTAGCGCTGGTGGTCTCAATGTTCTCGTAGAGTTCCTGGACGAGGACTACGACTCCTCGCGAGATCTAGTCCTCATTGGAGTCAATGGCATCTGGAATGTCTTCGAGCTCCAAGGGCCTACACCAAAGAACGATTTCTGCCGAATCTTCTCGCGCAGCAAAATTCTGGATCCCCTCGCTGAAGTCCTCCACAAAGTTCTACTGGAAGATGACGACGAGAAGGATGAGATTACGGAGTTGATCGAGGGTCGAATTGTCAATATTTTCTACTTGTTCTCCCAAGCTGAAAACTATGTCAAGGAGGTTGTGGCTGACAGACAAGTCCTGAAGAGTAAGACATGATGCGATCACAGAGTTTCAAAGGGAATTACTAACAAGTTTGCAGCTGTACTGAAGGACCTCCGACACATGACACCAATCCATCAGATCACCATGCTTAAGTTCATCAAGAATCTATCCATGCTGTCGACAACACTAGAGTCCTTGCATTCTGCAGATGCGATTGACTTCCTCATAGAAGTACTTGGCCAGAGCATGAAGAAGGGACAGATGCACTTCCGTGAGATCTCGAATCAAGTTTTGAACACAATGTTCAACCTCTGCCGACTCAGCAAAGAGCGACAAGAATATGCCGCTGTGAATGGCATAATTCCATTGTTGATGAAGATAATGCAGACGGACCGACCACCCAAAGAATTTGCCCTACCTATTCTTTGTGACATGGCACATTCTGGTAGCAAAGGCCGACGATACCTCTGGCAGAATAAGGGCTTGGACTTCTATGTCACTCTCCTGGCTGATCAGTACTGGCAAGTAACTGCGCTTGATGCCATTCATATTTGGCTACAGGAGGAGACTGCTAAAGTCGAGGGGCATCTCCTGAATGGCGGCTTCACTGCGGCCATTGTGTCATGCTTCAACACGACCAAGATCAATGCATTTGATCCAAATCTCCTCGAACCACTCCTCAAAGTTCTGCGTCTTAGCCCAGAAGTGGCAGCATCCCTCGGCAAGCCTGAAATGTACGCTGGCGTTGCGCAGAAGCTCAGCCACAAAAAGGCTGTTGTGCGGCTCAACCTTCTGAGACTTGTCCGTAATGTTATGGACGCCTGCGAGCCCGATATGGGCGTCGGTTCTGCAACTGGTAGCAGACAGCTGCGTGCTCTTTTCGATTCAATCCAGACCTTGGCCGACAAGGACTCGGCTGTTCTGGTACGCAACTTGGCTTCAGAGATTGTCAAGTCTCATATCGATGTCGAGTACGATGCTGTATCTGTGACCAGTGCGTCACAAGTCAGCTCCAGTAGATCACGCTCAGGCCCACGGCGCAATACATCATATACCCCTCCTGGGCTGCACTCGTCAACGTCGGCTCCGCTGACACCGACACATCATCGGCCGTCACAGTCATCAGCTTTTATCGAAGTGGCATCAACCCCAAAACACCCTCGGGTTTCCATGGCCCACGAGCGTGATGGGATCATATATCGACCACGCAGTAGGGACGGCGTCACCTCCATTCCGCGACGTGTCAGCGGCGATGCGACCGCCAGCGCAGCTAACGGTTCCCTGGCCTCAAAGAGCAGACTCCCGCGCACATCTAATGTCTACTCGAGGCCAAGTCTTAGCTCCGCCCAATCTTCTGGAGCCATTCTCAACCGCTCCGATAGTTCTCTGTCTAATAAGGAGAACTATGGGCGCTACTCGATGGCACCACACCCACCTGCATCTCCAGTCGCTCCGAATCCGGTAGAACGACCCAGCACGACGGGGTACAAGCGCCGCAGTCGTGTGCCAAGCTCGGATTTAAAGTGGTCTTAGAGAGATCGTGCTTCCGGCTCATCACGCAAGAGATCTGAGCCAGTGCCTGAAGAACCCCTTGAAGAGGCTCCTGAGGACTCGCCAAGTGTTCGTTTCACTGCCAGCAGATCCCTTGGCCGCAGCTATAATAGCAATACGATGTCTACGCCTAACCTCGTCAAGGACAAGCCGCGACCTAAGACTGAATCTGATCGCGTATCACAGAGCTCGCAGAGCTCGCAAAATATCGTATTGGGGACGCCGAATAAGCCTAAGAGCCGCTCCAAGGCGAAATCATCCAGCCCATTGAAAAGGGGCTCGGATAGATATACCACCGCGTGATGGCGAGGTCATTTTCTATGTTGCCAAATTCCTGCATGCGTCTGGTGTTTTGTGCCTCCAGGGAGAAATTGAGAGGCGTTCGCGCGGGTGCACTTCAAGTCTCACCGTGGCTAATATTACAGGCTGGCTACCTCGCCCTTGACTTAGCTGGTTTGCACTATGAATCAGCGATTTTGAGGAATATGTGTCTTAGAGAGAAAACATGAACGCATCACCTCCCAGCGCCGCGATGGTACTGCTCAAGGTAGCATGCTTAATTCTGCGCTGCAGAACATCCGTAGAAATAACAGTCACGAACTAGACACGTATATAGCAAGCAATTGCATGAGTTATGCACCGTTACTCCTGAATTCCATCCTCTTCTCTGTAAATGACTATCCCAACCCCTGAACAAGGTGCGAGTGATAACGTCATGCCAGCTATCACATGGCTAACAAACACAATTTCACAAGGTCCTCCTCTTTACGAGGTCGTACCTACTCTTCCTTCTTTGCCGCCTCTAGATCCGCACTGATCTGCTGCTCCACCATACCGACATCAAGTTGGGCTTCACCTTGTATGACTCGCTCCACATCAGGAACGGAGGAATGTTTCTCGCCTTCGAATATTGCGTCAATCTCTTCGAGGGTCTTGCCTTTGGTCTCGACCCAGAAGACGGCCTGGAGATGATGTAAGCATGAAATAACGGGAAAGAATATTCTGGCGGGCGAAGGAGGCACTTACAATCAGGACGGCTATTACGATGTCCCATGACGCGTTGACCATGTACATCTTCCATCCAATATTGTCGAGGCCGATTGGCATTATGCTGTTCATCATCTTAGTCAGTATCGGTCTGTATGAAGGTGATGCCAAACGAGGGTCACGAGATGGAGCTAAGCAGTGAGGAAATCACTTACAAAACGAAGACCATGCTAAGATAATGGTTAATTAGGAGCATTCAGACATTTTTCTGAAGGGTGACTTACGCAAACGCGTTCAACATCAGCTGCGAGAAAGCAACTCCATTCGCACGGATCGAGTAATTCATGACCTCGGGAGGATAGAGATACAACAGTGGCGTCCAGGCGATCGAGTAGAACCCCTGAAAGAGAAACATGACCGCCACATCGCCATAGACCAGACTTGTAGAGGCGTTGTCTGGATCATCTGCGTACATCTTGGAAAGGCCGCCAATGATGAACAGGCAGATGACCAGGAGTATTTCCGACAAGAGAGCCGTGGGCTTTCGGCCCCATTTGGCAGCGAGATGAGTTCCGACAAGACAGCAAAGTAGGCACCACACATTTAGCACGACATTGGCTTTCAACTGGTCATTATAGTCTGTGATTCCGGCCGTGTCGAGCTCTGGTCCAAGGTAGTACGAGGCGATGATGTTGCCTGCGATGCAGGAAAATGGGCCAGGGGACATGCCAATGAGAAGCCTCTTTCTTTCCACGGGTGTCGCGAACATCTGCGTCGGACTCATTATGCGGCCTTCTTTCTTCTCCCATTCAAGAGTGTCAAGAATCTCCTTGTACACAGCCAGGACTACGGGACTTGCAACGTCCCCGTTGGCATTTGTCTGCGCTACGGTCAGCCGCGCTGCCTCGAAGTAGCCCTCATGTACAAGCCAACGCGGTGACTCAGGAATGAAGGGCAGAATAATGATGCACAAGAGCGAGAAGATCCCTTGGAAAAGAGAGGGAAGTCTCCACGCCCAGGTCGACTGCCACTGCCCCGTGCCAAGCGTGATGCCCGCGGCGATGAGAGCGCCAACATAGTAGAAGTCGTTCAGAAGACCGACGCCCCAAGCGCGCCAGCGGCTGTTGAATGTTTCAGAAAGGTAGACGCCGGCCGCAATGCCGGAGACGGTAGTTCCAAAGCCAAGAATAATGCGAGCTACCACGAACATGGCGATGTTCTGCGCCGCTGTCTGTAACAGGACCCCGATCAATGTGATTGCCGAGCTCCAGAAGATAGTAGGACGACGGCCGATGCGGTCAGCAGTCACGCCAGAAACTAATGGACCTAGGACGCCTCCAATGAAGACCGAAGCCGTGTTGAGACCAGTGGTAGCTGAATTGAGGTTGAAGTAATCTGTGTAAGAGGGCAGTATATTCAGACCGTTCAGCATGGAACCATCGTATCCTACAGTCTTAAGAAAGAATGTTAGTGATCATACATTATCTTGGTGTATTGAATTTTGCTCACTGAAGACTGGACTACAGAGCATAAGACCAAGAGGACGGAGAGAACGACAGTCGACTCCGGCACCCATGCCGGTAGCCATGTCCCTGTTTCCGTCTTTTTCAACATGATATTCACGATTTGTATGTGATCATTAACAGCATTCCAAGAAGTGTAGTCAACGAGACAGGAGGCTCAAAATTCTTTGAATCTCGGAAGCAACCAAATTAATTACAGTTTGGAGACTGCAACCCCTCTACGGCGTCTCAGCGACGACATTTGCCTATCTCTGCCAACTCCAGCTAGATCCTGTGATAACGGGCCCATGTCTGGCAGTAAATGGTAATCTGTCGCCCGACGAGCGACTTCCGATAACAGTAGGTAGTTAGCTGGCCGGGGGTTGTATGTGTAATATGCGTGAGCATATTGCGGTTCCTGCTCCCGCTCACCTCCGCCAAGCACTGTGACTGGCTGGATTTAATGTGTGGGAATAACCTCCCTGGTTATATAGGCTCGCCCACCTTTCCCCTCATCTCTTATGTGTGTGTGTGTGACCATCCGTTTCTATTGATCAGCATGCGATAAGCCACATTAGGCTGTTCTCTGGGTGCAGTCAACGTGAGGGCCTGGTAACCGGTTCGAGTTGTGCTATCGTAGGAGCATGCGCAAGTAGTGAGAATTGAATCGCACAATGAATGGCTCTGTCTGTAACGACGCGCACTACTGCAGTGACAATTGCCCTGTAAGACAGGCCAATCATGTTTCAATTTCCCTACCTAATCAGTGCAAAATTCTCTTCGTGGGCAGGTAAGTGAGGATTGTGGATAAGGCTGATTACTTCTATGGTCTGTCGCATTTGAGTGCCTCTGATATCTGTTCTTTTCAACAATGAATCGTCTTCATTACAACTCACCAGACTAATAGCCCGCTTAGTCTGTTTCTGGGTATGAACTAGACATGATACTCGGAAGCATGGTGGAAAAGGGGTTCCACAACGGAGGCGTTAATAGTGTACAGGCTTTTCAGCACGGGAGCACTTACACCCGATTTGTGGGGAGTGGCACGGCCGGGCCCCCTAGCCAACGAGCGGCCGCGGTTTTCCCAAATTGTCAACAAATTCGCAGGAGAAGAATCGGAGATTCACTCTTTGACAATTGCATGCTCTGCATTTGCGGCCGCCGCAGCACATCGTCGCACGCGACACAAGAAGATCACAGGGTCCCTCACCGCCTTCTACTCAAGGTATACTTCCACGCCCACTCATTATTGCCAGCCCAAGCGAATTTAGAAAATGTTTATTGACCACCTGCAGAATCTGGTTTGCGTCTAAGAAGTCGACGAAAATGGCGACCCGATATTCCTTGAGGCAGACGCCGCGGTAAGTCGAATGAGCATCTCCATCGAAATTTCTAACGTTACCCTACTATACTTGCTCTTCCCTTTCCTTCGAGCATGGATTTGGCGCCAGTGAAGAGCCAGGGCAATTCTAATTGGGGCGAAAAAAAATACGAGAAAGCTCTCCTGATGTTCCCAATTGCGCGACGAACACTTCTTACAACCTCAATCGCCTCTCACAAGTGCAATATATGAATTGTTGAGCTAATTCCCACTCCAGCAAGAAGGAGCTCTTCGACGGAATGGTCGAGACTCCAGGCCGGCGCTCAACGCGGCGCAAGTCTCAATTCCCCTTCGACGGCTCCGATGCCGACGGCGACTCCAGCTCTGCCGCCGAGAGTACAACAACGCGCTCCAAGCCTCTTCGTCGACGTGGTGTCCCCAAATTCGTCGAGCACATTGACGAGGACTCGTCCTCCCCCGAGGTACCGGTATCGAATGGAACAAACGGCCATATTAAAGAGATCAAAAAGGAGGCTGTCGACGAGAAACCGTTCTTGAACGGCAATGGCGTGGCCCCGGTCAAGGTTAATGGTGTAAACGGCTCAGCCAATGGTCGCACAGACTATCAGACGAGCGGTAGCCTCCCCGGCCTTGTCAATGGCGTCTCGAAACAACTTGTCGTCGATGGCTGGATGCCAGGCAAGGACCCCAAGGTCGATTACTCGGGCAACTTTGAGTTCGGCGGCTCATTTGGGGTGGGCGCGATGATGATTGGATTCCCCATCCTAATGTGGTATATGTGGATTGGAGCAACGTTCTACGACGGCGGCTTCCCTACGCGCGCTCCTGGTCAAACTTGGTCAGAATTCGGAAAGCATCTGGTCAACATCGTGTACACCGAGGCATTTCCCTCTCTCAAGGCATGGGTTATGTACTGGATCTTCTTCGTCTGGGGCGGCTTGTGCTACCTCTTCATGCCTGGCATTTACGCTTATGGCAAGCCTCTTCCGCATGAAGGTGGTAAGCAGATGAAGTACTACTGCTCTGCGTTCACCAGCTTGTACATGACCATGGCCGCTCTTGGCGTGCTGCATTTCACCGGCATATTCAAGGCGTACACCATCATCGACGAGTTCGGTCCTCTCCTGAGCGTTGCCATCATCTCTGGGTTCATTGTGAGTTTCATCGCATATTTCTCTGCGATTGCTCGGGGGAAGCAGCACCGCATGACTGGCTATCCTGTCTACGACTTCTTCATGGGTGCGGAGCTCAACCCCCGGATGTTTGGCATCCTCGACTTCAAGATGTTTTTCGAGGTCCGCTTCCCCTGGTACGTTCTGCTCACCCTGACGCTCGCGACCGCCGCGCGCCAGTACGAGAACAACGGCTACGTGTCGGGCGAGGTCATGTTCATCCTGATGGCGCATTACCTGTACGCCAACGCGTGCTCCAAGGGCGAGGAGCTGATCGTGTCTACCTGGGACATGTACTATGAGAAATGGGGCTTCATGCTCATCTTCTGGAACATGGCTGGCGTCCCTCTGTCGTACTGCCACTGCACCCTCTTCCTGGCCAACCACCACCCCGATGAGTACAGGCACAACCGCTGGGTTCTGGCGGCTATGTTCGTCTGCTACCTGTTCGTGTACTGGGTCTGGGACAGCTGCAACAGCCAGAAGAACCGCTTCCGCGCCCAGGAGCGCGGCAAACTTGTCGTTCGCAAGACCTTCCCCCAGGTGCCGTGGCAGACTCTCAAGAACCCGAAGATCATCAAGACCGAGTCTGGGGACTCTATCCTGGTCGATGGTTGGTATGGCCTGGCGAGAAAGGTCCACTACGCCTGTGACGCATACTTTGCGATCAACTGGGGCCTCATTTGCGGTTTCAAGTAAGTGAAGAATATTGTTACGCATCGACTATCCGAAGCCTGTTGCTCACAACCTCTTTTAGGAGCCCCTTCCCGTGGTTCTACCCCGTCTTTTTCTGCTGCATGATCGCCCACCGAGCCTGGCGCGACATTGAGCGCTGCAGACTCAAGTACGGCGAGGCCTGGAAGGAGTATGAGAGGCAGGTTCCTTACCTGTTCATTCCCGTAAGCTGACTCGAATCCTATTCCTTGCTCTATCTCGCTGACATATATAGTACGTGATTTAAACGTAAACCAGCACATTTCTCTCTCCATAAGACATGACATACCATACCATTCTTGTACATATATTGTTATATAAGTGTAATCAGCATCGCATCATCGCTGTGAGAGGAGGTATGAAAAACATAGCCATTTTGGGCGGTATGGGAAAAGTCATGCTCAGTCCTCTGGGGCTATACCTACAATCGTTTGGTAAATACGCCAGCACATGTGTCTGTTGGCTTTTCTTGTACATATGCTTGCACCTTTGAACTTGGTTCACATCAAATGATAATAATAATAAAGTTCAATATCAAAGTGCGATGAGATGAACAAGTTCTCGTGGCGCTGGATCTCTTGCAATGTAGTCAATTCGACGAAAGCATTCATTACTCCCAACCTAGACTACAATCTTCCCCATCACCAGTCTATGATGAGAAACCATGCCTAGAAAATAGAGAGCATAATGTGATGTGATGATGGTACATGTACGTTATTTAGGGTCGGTCATAATCCCCACGGACCGCTCGACGCCCCTTGAACCGAGTAAGATCTTGGTGCCAGTTCTCCGTTGCCGCCAGCCCATTGGCTGAAACGGTAAGTATTCGTTCCCCCCTTCACCCTGTTGTGATAAGAGCATCTGGTTGTAGGTACAAGATTGCCAGCTCTTCCAACGGCTGTATCGTATTGGCGGGTGAGGCATTTAGCATGTGATGTTCAGCGAAGCCTTGGAGTTCATGAGAAGGGCGACGATCAAGCCGTACAGACCTAGTTTCGGGTTAGTCTCTTAGGTCGTTTGTCACACAGGTAAATCACCCACCCAGGACTTCGGCGAAAATGAGAATCAGAATCATGCCAACGAACAGACGCGGCTGTTGCGCGGTACCTCGCACACCGGCATCACCGACGATACCAATTGCAAAACCAGCAGCCATACCAGCAAGACCGACGGCCAAGCCGGCGCCGAGCTGAATGAAGCCCGTGTACAGAGCGTACTCTTGTTGCTTCAGGTTGTCGGAAATCAGGACAGAGACGACCAGTCCGTAAATACCGATAATACCAGCCATAATGACGGGAACAATGTCTGTGGATGATTAGTTGAGGATGTCCGAGATGGAAAAGCCGCGTTTGGTCACACACTCTTGACGATGAGATCTGGTCGCAGAACACCCATAGCAGCGATACCGACACCAGACTTCGCAGTACCGTAGGACGCGCCTAGGCATGTGAAGACAATGGCAGCCGTGCAGCCCATGGCGCCGAAGAAGGGCTATTACTCTATCAGTCGGGGCTCTCGATGTAATGATGGATGAATACGAAGCGGAGACAGGGATCGAGGGATGACATCGATAGCATCGGAAGGGTACTAACCGCGTAAACGGGGCTATAAAAGTCATCGCATTAGCTTCTCAATCCTTAAAAATGATGCAGAGGATATCGTAGGAGACTGTTGAGGATGGTATTTGGGTCGATGGAAGCTTCGGTTGATGACGGTGGAGCTTGGCCAGGAGGAGAAGTGAGGAGACAGGGACGGACAACTTACCAAGCGTCAGTCATTTTGGCGATTGATTATGAGCTTGAAAACTAGATTCAAAAAAAGATAAAGGAAGGACGTTAGTTCAAGGGAGCGGAGGCGGCGCGATAGAGTTAGCGGAGTGGAAGTGTTGCAGCGCGGAGAGCTGTGTTGGCTTTTGGTGATGACGGACGGGACTCGAGGTTGCGGTTGATATTGACGAGGTGTTTCCAGCTTGCCTTTCATTGGGGCAAGGTTTTGCGTCGGCAATCCTGCTGTCTAGGAGCACGGACCACCACTCGAAATTATGTCAGCCGGGGCCCGGTCGAACTCTGATCCTATCAGCTTATCGGTGCCCCACCGCCCTCCAAATTATTTTTGCAGACCTTTCTAGGATCGCTACAGCTTCATCCCAGGTCAAGTTTTTCAACCTTCATCACCAAAGCTTTTTACAGGGCGAGCTCTCGCAAGGAACCCTGCGACGCATAACATTTCGACAACACAATGTCTAACCAGAACGAATCCGCCGCCTGGCCCCTGGCCGATGCTGCTCTGTATGTTCTCAATGGAATATTACATTTCAGATCATACTGACCGCACCTCCCAGAACCCAAGAGCTGCTCGACTGCATACAGCAAGCGAGCCATTACCGGCAGTTGAAAAAAGGGGCTAATGAGTCGACCAAGGCTCTGAACCGCGGAACAGCAGAGATCGTCGTTCTCGCCGGAGATACCAGCCCCCTCGCCATTCTTCTTCACATCCCTCTGCTGTCCGAGGACAAGAACGGTATGCGCCTGCCCAGTGCCTTTCCTGTATGCTTCTCTGGTTTTTGTGCTAACAGCAATTTCTCATAGTACCTTACGTCTATGGTCAGTTTGCCTCCGAGGAAACACGATGTCTTCCACCTGGACAGTTATACTGATGTAGAACCAGTTCCCTCCAAGATTGCTCTGGGCCGTGCCTGTGGAGTGAGCCGAGCTGTTATTGCTGCCGCTATTGTACGTTACCCCGTCCTTTTCTTGCCCTCTCCCCTGGGCCATGAGGTTGGGTATTCGCTAACAGGAGACAGACTACCAACGAAGCGTCCGACCTCCAGGGTGTCATCCGAAGCTTGAAGGACAAGGTTGAGCGTTTGGCTATCTAAACAGCTTAGACATGCTGCGGGAATATGCCGAATTGTCTTATAAAGGCAACAAGACATGTTTGACAATCATGGCTTTGGGTCATATCTCGAAGGACATACAGTTAGTCTAGTGGCTGGGGGTCTGGATTCAGAAAAGAATATAAAAGACATTTGAGTCGACTCGTCGACAAACCGCCAATGTGACTTATGATGCCTCCTTTTGAGATAAATTGTAGGTGGTCTATACTGTTATTTTCCAATAGTGCAGATGTAGTGCCAAGAGTCAAGATGCAGGAAGAAGTGGGCATGTGCGCTAAATGCAGTGGTGTTTGGTTCAACGCCGTGCCTCGGAGCGTGTTGTTGAATGGCTGAATGGTGTGCGCTGGAGGGGCGCCAACACGTCACATTGCACCGGTATGTGTGGGGGAGGTAACAGGGCGCTGTAAGGTAGCTGGCGCATGCCCCACCATCCTGCAAGACATCATCAGTGACATACGAGATCTCTCTCGGAGATATGCCGCTGACACCTCCCATAAGCTTCGTATCTTCTAAGCAGTTCATCGACCTCTTGTCCCTTTTCTGAAGTGTAATTCCCTTACTATTTTGGTGTCTATTGTCGTCTTGTCATGTCCTAGGCCCTTCAGCAGCCCAAGATGCCTGGGTTAGCTCGCAAGGTTATTATATACGCGGCCGTCGACGGTCTCATCTTACAACCTCTCAATTCCAAGAAGGAGCAGCGAGTCGCACCGCCGGTGAAGATCAAATATGGAGATGCAGCCATATCCAACATATCCTCGCTGCCAGATACATCCAAAATCAACAGTTCTTTCGAGGCTTTTGGCATCATCGGTAGGTCTGCGTGTTGGTGCCAGGGACAATTAAAGCAGCTTCTAAGTCGACGTCATCGCAGGTCTCGTCACCGTCTCGAAATTCAGCTACCTCGTCTCGATAACACGCCGCCAGCAAGTCGCCCAGATCCGAGGACTTCCCATTTATATGGTCACTGAAGTTGCCTTGACACCATGTTCTTCGTATAAAGACGCAAGTGACTCCGTCGCAAAGACAGTTTTGCACTTGCAGGGCAAGCCCGCGGAGCAGGACGCAGAGGAGAGCGATAGCGATGATGACCTCGGACCACCATCCAGGGCAAGCGATGATGTCGGAGATGAGAATGCCCCCGAGCAGGAGCAAGTGCCAGGCCCGCAGAGCAAAAGCACTGTGGCCCAGGATGTGATGACCAGACGTGGGAGCTATGGCCGCTTCGCGCAGCGGTGGTTTAGTAAGAGCGGATGGATGCAGGAGCAGAAGAGGACAATGGGCTTAAGCAACTCGGAAGAAGCAATTGCGGATCCCGATAGTAAGGCCGGCAAGCATGAATCTACTTCTGAGGCAGCTGGAGTTCCCGTAGAGGACGCTGAGCAAGAAAATCTCGCGCCGCCTAGTTTGCTGCCGAAGTTGCTGCGGACAACTCAAATCCTCTTCGGGACGTCAAAAAGTTTCTTCTTCTCTTACGATTATGATATCACTCGAAGGCTATCAAACCAGAAATACCCGACCACACAATCATCGGAGAACGCCTTATACAAGCAGGTAGATCCCCTGTTCTTCTGGAACCGCAATGTGTTGCAACCCTTCCTCGATGCCGGCGCCGAAAGCCTCGCTCTTCCCCTGATGCAAGGTTTTGTTGGGCAGAGGACCTTCACGGTTGACAGCCGCCCACCACAAGTCGATGATGGTGCGAAGGAATCCATGGAGCTGAGCGACTTCGGAGCGAATTGGTCCAACCCAGCTTCCAACCCAACCTCGAACCCGGCCTCACCGCCAAATGAAAGAGCTTCGGTAGACCTGAGACCGTCGGAGAAACAGTTCGATATCACGGTCATTTCGAGGCGTTCTGTGAAGCGAGCTGGTCTTCGCTATCTTCGTCGTGGTATCGACGATGATGGCTTTGTTGCTAACTCGGTGGAGTCTGAGCAAATTTTGTGCCCAAAGATCACAGACGAATCTACGAAAGTGTATTCGTTTGTGCAAATCAGGGGCAGCATTCCTCTGTTTTTCACTCAGACACCATATTCCTTGCGGCCAACACCAGTTCTCAGACATTCTGAAGAGACCAATTACCAAGCTTTGAAGAAGCACTTTGAGTACCTACATCAGCGTTATGGCTCACTTCAGATCGCCAATCTCATCGAGAAACATAGTATCGAAGCTCCGATAGGACAACAATTCCAGGCGGGAGTCGAGCGATACAACAAGGAGCACCCCGATGATGAGCAAATTCCCTTTGAATGGTTCGACTTTCATGCTGTCTGTAGGGGCATGAAATTTGAGAATGTTCAGAAGCTCATTGAAATTCTGCGGGAGGAGATGAGTGATTTTGGAAGTAGCGTGGAGGCAAATGGTGAAATCACAAGTGTCCAGAAGGGAGTAATACGGACGAACTGCATGGATTGCCTGGACCGAACGAATGTCTGCCAAAGCTCGTTTGCAAAGCACATGTTGGACCAACAACTTAAGGAGCAAGGATTCGACATGACAGTGCAGAATGATCAGGTAAACTCCTGGTTCAACACATTGTGGGCGGACAATGGCGATGCCATTTCGAAGCAGTATGCATCAACTGGTGCCATGAAGGGTGACTATACCCGGACCAGAAAGAGAGACTATCGCGGCGCCTTGACAGATGCGGGCTTATCTCTTACACGATTCTATAATGGGTATGTTATGAATCTTAATGTTTTGAGTATTACTACTAACTAACGATCGCTAGCATGGTCAATGACTTCTTCCTCCAGGCGACCATAGACTTCCTCCTAGGCAATGTTACTGCCATGGTCTTTGAGGAGTTTGAAGCCACTATGATGACCAAGGACCCAGCTGTCTCGGTCCAAAAGATGCGAGATCAAGCTATCGAGCTGTGCCAGAAACGCGTCATTGTAGACGAGAAAGAGGAATTCATTGGAGCATGGGCTCTTCTAACACCATCAACTACAGACAGCATCACCACCAAGCCCTTCGAAGAGATTATCTTCATGCTTACCGACACGGCGATGTACCTCTGCCGATTTGACTGGAACCTCGACAAGGTCTCCTCGTTCGAGCGAATACTGTTGTCGCATGTTGAGAACATCAAGTTCGGGACGTACATCACATCCACACGTTCCACCACCCAGATGGACGAGATGAAGAATGTCGGACTGGTCGTGACGTACAAGCCGGGGTCCAGCGACATCCAACGCATCAACACGAGATCACTTTCAAGCCTAAAAAGCCGCGTGAACAGCAACTCCTCACAGAGCTCCAAGATTGCCGGCCTCTTCGGCGGTCGTAGCGCCGCGCCGGCAGAGACCGCGAAGAAGATCGCGCTCAAGGCTCCATACTCCCAGTACTCTTTGGCTACCGGAGCCGAAAGGGAAGCCAAAATGTCCGAGTTGCAGCTTGTGGTGAGCATCTGCGCGGAGATTGAACGGCTCGCGTTTCTTAACCAGCCCGTCTCTGGACAAGTCGAGAAGAACCGCGAGAGCATCATCGAGAAGGACGACATTGTTTCGCTGGCTGATGCGAAGAAGAACGTCGGGCTGTTCGACAATCTGTCGCACTCCATCAAGCGGTTGGTATGGGCATAATGGCAGTCGTCTCAGTCTGAGGGCTTGGTGACGCGGTATAGGTGCATCTGGTAGCGCATGTCTTCTAGAGGAATGGGATAGGATAGGCTCTGGGACAGGCGAAACCACAGAGAGTCGTGGGACTCAACCTTCGTCCATGCTTCTGTGCCAAGAAGGACCTTGTCGAGGAGCCACTGCATAGGGTAGCGTTTCGACTCCTTGCCGACAGCAGCCTCGGAATAGCTGCCCGGGCTGTCGACGACCAGCAGTAAGGAGTCAGGAGGGGCGGCAGCGGTGAGATTCAGGAGGAAGGTGCTCGTCTTTCCAATACCCCCTGACGTGAAGAGCTCGTTTAGTGTGAAAAGCAATGTAATAAGCAATGGACCTGACCCCACAAGCTCTGATATCTTGTCTTTTGAAACCGCCAGTATGTCTTGTTGTGTAAATATTGAGGTCAGATTCGCCGAGGGGACCAAAGCAGCATTTGCTGCCCTCGTAGCCTCGCTGGCGTATTTTGACAGGGGAGGAGCTGTTGTCAGCCCGGCGTGCAGCTTCTTGATCACTCCCTCCCAAGGGGCCGAATCTAAGAGGGTGATGTCGGCTTGCATGTCAGGGGTCTGGCTCAGACAATCGCCAACGGCTACAACCTCAGCTGCGCCTCCACCTATGAGCAGAGACTTGAAGCGACGGAGACGTCCATCCTCAACCTTCGTGCAGATACCTTCGAGATGACCCCTGATACCGGCCAGCACAGCTGCATAGCAAAGGGCACGAGTCGGGCTCCATCGCGCCGCGTAGACCTCGAGGTACTCCTCGCTGCCGAACGCCTTGTCAAAGTCCCGGTTGAAGAGCGCTTGCTTGACTTCCTGGAGTGTAGCTGTGAGGTTGTCTGAGAGCAGCACGTCTCGAAACGTGTGCGTGAAGACGTCAAGGACTTTTTGCTGGCGTGCAACGTCCTGGACCGGCTGTGTGCCCGCATCAGCTTTACTGGAAGTTGATTTGGCAGGCTTTTGGGAGCTTGATGGCCGGGCCCTTTTTGAAGTTGGATTTTTCTGCACCATCGTGGACTTTTCACGTTGCAAGCTGTACGTGGTGGAGTTGGTCTTAGTGCATTGCCAGTTTGGGATGTCAAGTGCCTTGTTATAACATTTCACTGCAGATTTAGTGTCCCCCGGGACCCTGCACACCTAAAGCTGGTCCGGCCTATGGCCTATGGCCACTAAGACACGGCTGCTACATTATTCCTAAGGTCCCACCCCAGGCTGTGCAAACAACCCAGGTACCTGAACTCATAGCTTTTGCGAGTACGCTTCGAGCAAATCTGGAGCCGTTTGGGGCGAGGAACCTTGTACGAATACAAGAGGTCAATAAGCAGCACTGGGGACGGTGGTAGGAACGTAAGCTGCCTAATGCCAGCTACTTACATCTCATAGGCAAGATTTCTTGGCCCTTTAGAGACGGCATACATGGTGCATATCTATGTACCGCTAGACAACCTACCGACTCCCCTGGATAACATTTTGGCACCTTGTTGAATTTAACCGGCAGACCAGCAAACCCCGCGAGTGGATCCTTGTTGGAACAGAGCTCCAGGGTAAGGGTATCTGTCTTGGTATTTGTTTGTTCGTGAGTGAGGGCAGAGTGAACGGGGAGAAGTAGCCCATCACCAGCAGCTGTGCCAAATGTTCGCCTGATATCCGCCCAAGCCGTGCCTTGGGATGCAACAACAGGCTATCTCCGGGCGTTGCTAAGGGATGTAAAGCTTACAGGTCCCAAGCACCAACCCAAGACGCTCCCGCATGTTGCTGACTCGCCTCGAACCCCTAGGGAAGGTAAGGTAACACTCCAGGCGTGGCCCTGATCCAAAGGCTACGGTGAGCGCGGGAAACGTGGGGTGAGAGTCAGCCTAGCACCTACACGTAGACAGATTCATGGAAGAGTCTCTGCGGAAAAGCAGGTGAGTTGAGGCGATGCGACCGCAGTTGCTCCGCGCACATCACCGGATGATTCAGCAGAAGAGGGAGCTTTTACGACAAGGAGGCAAGGCGATGGAATCCAGCATCCCGTTCCAGAAAAAAGCCGCATGCTGCTGCTTCTACTCTGTGCGTGCTATAACACCCACACATGCCGAAGACGATGGCTTCGATCCAATGGAGAACGGCCATGCGTGCATACACTGACTGAATAGCTTTTGGCAATGGCAATCCAATAGGCTCATGAGTGATGATGACTGGGCACACCCCTCACCTTCGGAGATACAGTAGATGTGGCGTTGAGTGAGCGGGAAAGACTGGAGCTGTTGACTTCATCGCTCGTCCATTTTTTACGGAGCACAGCAGTCCGGTAGGGTACATAGGCATAGAGAGATGGCGATGTCTACCGGCCGCTACTTCTTAAACGGGCTCCCATGACATGAAAATTGCCACTTCACATTTCGATCCAAGCTGCTTAGTCTTTAGTAGAAGACGAAGAATAGGGAAAGGGAAAACCTTTGTTATAGCGCTAAAAAGATCTGACTACACCGCAGATTCAGATGTAGATGCTAGGGATTGATGAGGAGACTACTACGCAGTAAGTGAAATGAGTAGGCTGAAGGGGCCGAAGCCGTAGTCGGAACCATGTTGTCTTTCTCGGGGCACCAGCCAGCGGCGCTCATACCCGAGCAAACCACAGCTCGCCATTTGCCTCGAGGCTACCTGAGTCCCTTTGCTACCCAGGGACGCTACTCAAATGGGATTCACAGCAAGGCCAGGAAATGTGGAATCGGGTGAAAAGTCGTTGCTGGGAAGGTCTCCACTCTGCTGAGCCAACAAATGTCACAAAGTTCCAAAACGGGGAGCGACGACACACTTGTCGCGTCGGCATGGGATGGGGGGCCTCTCTCCTACTAGGTACCTAGGTAGTGTAGTAGGTAGTAGTGCCCTGCGGCAATAGAGGGACTCCAGCCTGCTGCAGTGCTTGTTGAGAAATGCCAGGCTGAAGCACACACCATCTGGGTACCTAGGTAGGTACCTCTTTCCACCTTTCCCGACCCGACGACGACGACGGACGACGGACGGACGACCTGACACTAGGTAACTTTTGCCAACATTTCAATTATTTCCCTCGACCCTTCCCCCAATCCTTTTTCCACATCCTCTCAGACCTCTCTTCTGTTCCCTTTCCCCCCAAATCTCGTCCTGAGAAAACCTCATCCCATAGTTTGTGTGTACTTTGACAGTCATTCATCATGGGCTATACCGACGTCGATAAGCTCGCCATCAACACCATCCGGGTGCTCGCTGTAAGTCCTGTCCTCTCAACGCTGAGGAGCTCTGTCCAGCTCTGTCCAGCTCTCTGCTACCCCCGCCCCCGCTTTCGCAGCGAAATTTGCCCCGCCATCGTCATGGCAGCCGTTTCACCGTGAAGCTCTCTGCCTCACCTTCGCGATGCTCATTCTCGCGGTTTTTGGGCTCAATTACTGATCAGATCTCATCTCTAGGCCGATGCGACCTTCAATGCCAACTCCGGTCACCCCGGTGCCCCTATGTGTGTACTTTCTTGCTGGCGCGGGGTCGCGATGGTTGCTGACAGATGCCCAGGGGCATGGCGCCGGTCGCCCACGTTCTCTTCAACCGCTTCATGAAGTTCAACCCCAAGAACCCCAAGTGGGTGAACCGCGACCGCTTCGTTCTCTCGTAAGTACACGGCTGCATAGTATCATGATCTAGAAGCAAGTGGCTAACCTATTGCCTTCCCAGTAACGGCCACGGTTGCATGCTGCAATATGCTCTGCTCCACCTCTACGGATATGCCCTCAGCATTGATGACCTGAAGGCCTTCCGAGTAAGTTGAAAAGCCGTTTTCCCGGTCCTTACTCTCTCTAATGCAGCTCTGTAGAGCGTTGACAGCATCACCCCCGGCCATCCTGAGGCCCATGACACCCCAGGCATTGAGGTCACCACTGGCCCTCTTGGTCAGGGTATCTCCAACGCCGTTGGTCTGGCCATGGCTCAGGCCCACACCGCCGCCGAGTTCAACAAGGACGGCTTTGACCTCATCAACAACTACACATACACCTTCCTCGGTGATGGTTGCTTGATGGAGGGTGTCTCCAGCGAGGCCTCCTCTCTGGCTGGTCATCTGCAGCTCGGCAACCTTATCGCCATCTACGATGACAACCATATCTCTATCGATGGTGACACCAACCAGGCATTCACTGAGGACGTCACCAAGAGGTACGAGTCGTACGGCTGGCACGTCGTTTCCGTCGGTGACGGTGACAACGACCTCGACGGCATCGAGGCCGCCATCAAGGCCTGCCAGGCGGTCAAGGACAAGCCTTCCATCATCAAGCTCAAGACTATCATTGGTTTCGGCTCTAAGCAGCAGGGCACCCACGGTGTCCACGGTTCTCCCCTCAAGGCTGACGATATCAAGCAGCTGAAGGAGAAGTGGGGCTTCAACCCCGAGGAGAGCTTCGCCGTTCCCCAGGAAGTCTACGACCTCTGCAACAAGGTCTCAGCTTCTGGTGCCGCCGCTGAGGAGGAGTGGAATAAGCTGTTCGCCAGCTACGGCGAGAAGTACAAGTCTGAGCACGACGACCTCATTCGCCGTCTCAAGGGTGACCTGCCCGAGGGCTGGGAGAAGAATCTCCCCGTCTACACACCCAAGGACGCTGCCGTCGCTTCCCGAAAGCTGTCCGAGATCGTCCTCACCAAGGTCCACAGCGCCATCCCTGAGCTGTTCGGTGGTTCCGCCGATCTGACTGGCTCCAACCTGACCAGGTGGAAGGATGCCGTCGACTTCCAGCCCCCTGCCACCGGTCTCGGTGACTACAGCGGACGATATGTCCGATACGGTGTCCGTGAGCACGGTATGGGTGCCATTCTCAACGGTCTTGCCGCTTACGGCACCATCCTGCCGTACGGTGGTACTTTCCTGAACTTCGTCTCATACGCTGCCGGCGCCGTCCGCCTGTCCGCTCTGTCCCAGGTCCGCGTGATCTGGGTCGCCACCCACGACTCCATCGGTCTGGGTGAGGACGGTCCTACTCACCAGCCTATCGAGACTCTCGCTCACTTCCGCGCTCTGCCCAACTGCATGGTGTGGAGACCTGCTGACGGCAACGAGACCAGCGCTGCTTACTACGTCGCCCTGACCTCCAAGCACACCCCCAGCATCATTGCTCTCTCCCGTCAGAACCTGCCTCAGCTCGAGAGCTCGACTATCGAGAGGGCCGCCAAGGGTGCTTACGTCCTGCACGAGGTTGAGGGTGCCGACATCACCCTGGTCTCCACCGGTTCCGAGGTCTGCATTTGCATTGACGCCGTCAAGGAGCTCGCCGAGAAGCACAACATCAAGGCCCGTGTGGTCTCCGTCCCCTGCTTCGAGGTGTTCGACACTCAGTCCAAGGAGTACCGCCTCAGCGTCCTGCCCGACGGCATCCCGTCTCTGTCCGTTGAGGTCATGAGCACCATGGGCTGGGAGAGATACACACACGAGCAGTTCGGTCTCAACAGATTCGGTGCCTCTGGTGCCTACAAGGACGTGTACAAGGCAAGTAACCCCAGAATATGTAATTTATTTGCGAGTACAT